GGGGGGAGAGGCGCGGGGTACGAATGGCATTGATAACACACACATATAGCCAGTCTTGTAAGTTGTCACAACTTTATTTATGTAACATGACATCTACTGTTGGTCACAGGAGAATCTTGGTGTTGTCAACTTGCGGCGTCCGCGCCCTCCATGCTTTATCTTCCCTTAATGGGCTCTCAACATGTAAAATGCCCCAGCCTTCTTCCACGTGCCCCCCCCCCCCCTTGTAAGTAAGTGGTACCCTATCTGTGGGCCTACCTTCGCTGAACTTATTATTATTATTATTACTTTCTAACGTGAACGGGGCAACATTGATCGTCTTTGGGTCTCATCCTCTCTTTCTCTCTCATTCTCTCTCTCAAATGCACACACCCGCACACGCGCGAGCGCACACACACACACACACACTCAGTATATATTTGGCTCTTTAACTGTAAGTAGGTCTACTACCGCACCACATGTATCTTCAACATTTTGCCCCGTGTTGAAGCTTTGTCACCTCACCCATAGCTAAATGTGACACCAGTCTCCAGTAAGCCACTCTTGGGTTTATACACACAACGTAAGATAGAAAGATAATCCTTTCACAGACTTCAATCCTAGTTATATACCGCGACATGACATTTAAAACTGAACGCAGAGCGCCTCGGCTGATGCACTGTGGTTAGAAATCAACCTTTCGTAAACTATAGGGTTTATGGTTTCCTTGATTTTTCACATATTCCACACATTAATATAGTCAATTAACAGATCGAGAAGAATACACAACTATCATCACTCTTTAGTTATATATATCACTGTTTGACAGTTAGAAAACATGAAGAACACACTATGGTCCAAGCAGAGGCTGGCACGTTAACTGTTTCTCTCCGATTTTCAGAAAATTCTGGTCGCGCAGTTGTAAAAATGTGCCTACGTTCCATGTCGCTTTACCTGACAGGAAGCTTGCAAACAACTACCGGTGCGTTTTTCATTTTAACGTTGTAACATTTGCTTCTGTTCTCTATGTTCTCTATGTGTAATACATTGCAAATTTGGTGACTGGCTTCGAGTTTGTTGTGGTTGAAAATTATAAGAAAATTTTTCGACTCTACTTATTCAGGTATATTTTGTTTTTCTAAAAATCGAGTATATTTTGTCTTCTGATACTCTTTGATTATCAATAAAGAGACAAAAGGTTAATCTATTCAAAAGTGAAGAACAACAACCGTTTCTTCCTTAGAAATGCGCTAAGTGACAGTGCCTTGCCATGTATGGGCAGGTAAAAAAGTGTAAGGTTCTCATCTTATTCTCTGTCAGATCTTACTTTCAGAAAGACAGATTATCCTCGCCTCTGTCGCACCTATCTTTTGGATTTGATGGTTAATATATTATTAATGATGCTGTTTAAAGTATAAAATTTAATGTATATCTAACCTGGCACCAGCTCCCCTCAACGTCCTCTGCAAATCCTCACTTGCCACTGCGTCAAATGCAGATGCCGACGCCTCTTAAAAGCTACACAGGGCAATAAATTTGTAGAACAACACCATGCACGGTTTAACCATTTAGTCAAGGACGCAGTCACAAAATTAACGTCCCCGTCTTTCAGAGTGTGGCCGTCGCAATGTTGTCATATGCACCAAATTAATGGTCATTTGACGACGGGTCACAATACTATTTCACATCACCCCTTTGAGTGTTCCTCGCGTCACGTGGTGACAATATTTGCACAGACCAGCCACGCGTGCGGTCTTCGGAGAAGGCGACAGCGAAATAACATTAAGACTTAAAGCCACCAGATCTCATGACAGACGCTTTTGGCCACCCTGTCATCGACTCACCTAACAATAGATGCCTGGCTCTCTCTGAGCTTTGAGGGTCTTTTAAACGATGAGCGTGTGTCAAAAGTAAAAGGTGCGGTTTACCCGGAGATAATGGCATGATCGGAAAGATGAGAGTGGCATTAAACCTGAGAAGTGCGTTTCTGTGGTTTTTGTAGCCTCGCGTTGACAAGTATCTCCTGCCTACAGACGCTGGATCCATTTTTGCAGATATTCCATAATCATGCAAGGCTGCTGAAAGCGATTTCCAAATAACAGGAAAATATATGGAGAATGCATAGAATATCTTGCCGACAGAAGAAAGAACGCCAATGCTTACAAAATGGAGAAGAAAGAACTGTTTACAGTTTTAAAGGTTGACAAGGCCTGTATGTTTTGCTAGTTATGGATTGATCTTGCAAGAGTGTAAAAAATGAAAGACAAACATCATAATGAGTGCAATAAAAATAAGAGATTATTTTAAGAAGGCTTCGTCTATTAACACCGCCTTTAAAATCACAAAAAATTAGGGGAAGTTTTGATTAATCAAAGTCATTCACCTGCTTTCTGCTATCACAGCAATGCATTTGACCTTCTGACTGAATTATAACAAAAGAAGATTAGATTCGCTCGCAAAAATTAAAGTAAAAAAATCAGAATCGCCATACAAGATCACCATATAAATAAAAAGTTTTCGGTGATATAAAATGCCAATGACACTGTAAGCTTTCGAAACCCGACCACTTTATTTACAAATATTATCTGAACCATTCCATATTTGACTTGATACATGTACCACAAAGAAATCAAAATATTTCATCCAGCCATCTCGTCTCCACGAGCAGCAGTAACCCTGTGCCCCGGCGTCCAATTATATCAATTAAAACCTTAGACGTGACCAAATGGACGTTTTGCCATTGGTCATCTTAAACAACAAAACAGTGTAGGTACACGGAAATCTGATATATCGTTGTAATCAGAGTGGCGCTTTTGTCGAGCGCAGTCATAATTACATCGTTGGGCAATCCCCATATTTCAATCGAACTTGCTGCTACAGTATATTGCAATAGCAATGGTGGCCTTCTTCTCTCTGTCTCTATGTCGGACAAAAGGACGGTCGGACGGACAGGCAGACAGTCGGTTAAATAAATTGAGAAATAAGAAAAATCTCAAATATACCATTTTCCGACCTTGGTCTTAGTTTGTATGAAACAGCCGCAAATCGGCCAGGTATTCGGCACATAATAATGCTATCACTTAATTCATTTGATATGTCACTCGATACTTTCATGTCGAAAACATCTTTGTAATATATTTCATATATTTTCATATATATTCCAGAGGAGGAGCAGGTTGGATCTCATCAAACTGAATCTTATACCCGTCTTTATTGTGAGCGCACGTTCTTTTTGTCAGATGGCTTTTTCAGAACATCATGTTTAATTTCAGTTTATCGAATGCAATACGCACCCGATTAAAAAAAAAGACAGAGAATTCAATTGAAGTTGAAACATTATACAGTAAAACACATGTAAAGCTCGAGACCTGCTCTGCACATTAGACCAAGGAGTTAGGTCTACAACAGATGTAACTCCTTGATTAGACATATTCATAAAAAGAAAATAAAAACCACGAAGATAATTGATTTTCACTTAAAAAATTACCGTGTAAGGCTATTCTCTACCAGGGCATCAGATTGATTTTTCACCAGATATTCACAGATATGTCTCTGGTTAAATTAACAGTTAGAGAAAATGTCCACATAATAAAAACTGCAGCACAGGTACAAGGTAGTGTAAGGGACAGTTAAAGATGAGGACCAATTTTAAACAGAGTACGCAAATTGACTATCAGTGACGCAACGTTTTGTCGCAGTTGAACGAAGTACTTACGGAGGGCACTTTACAGCATAAATAAATAAATACATGGAGCGGTCAATGTGAAAACGGCAATAACCACAAATCGCTTGTTACTCTAGTTAAAATGAAATGAAAACGGGCGCTTTGTGCTATTAATATAAAGGGCAGTGTTATTACCATTCTACCTTGCAGTGATATTTTGACTGCCCCGAAGCTTACCATCTAATTAGAATAGTTTTAAAAGCGTTGTTTTTAAATTGCTTTTAAATGCGTTTTGTAATGGTATTGTAGTGTATTATTTTCATTTTGAAGTGCAAATAGTGTAAGCCTCATTTTTTTAAAAAGGGAAATCAATTGGTTTTGTCTAGAGTATTTTACAGAATGAACGGACATTCGCTCACTGCCTAATTCCTATTTTAAATGATATTTAGTTCCTCATTGACGATAAAAGACAAAATCACAATGCTCCGTGCAGAAAAAAGCTTGTCATTACTCATCCAAAATATCTATACCATTTATTAATTTTAAAAATTATAAATGAAAAGCTTGTATGCTTTGAATTTTTTTTCATTTTCTTCTACGAAATATTATTTTTCCTAGTATATTTTACACTTTCTTACACATTTGCCTCCTGCATTATAGTTAGCAATATATTTTAAGAAACTAGAAATATTCAAGGAGTGCTCCTTTACCTCCAGTTAGATAATTTTATGATGCTCAACCCGTAAAGAGAGTTCTAAAGAGCGCAACTTGAGTGTCGGCATCCGATTTAGGGAACAAGAGCAAATAATTGTTATTCCTGTTTACTAAACCAAATCTAGATCGGGCAGATATGTTTAAGTGGAAGAAAGCATTCGTCACCCGACACCGCCATGTAAATTCGCGCTTCATCTCAGTCGGGAAGAAGAGAGCCTTCAGGTGAATTCGAAACATTACGTCACAGCGGAAAACGCGAGCACGGTAGCTATCGGCTGACAACAGAAAAGGTCGACGTTGTTTTTCTTAGATGGCCTAGGGAGCAGATGGGTGAGATGCCATCTATTTTCCGTGCTGTATGCGATTTAAAATGAAAAGAAAGCAATCCTCGCTTCACGTTCCACGGCTTTGGGGACTTTAACATTCATCGGCATTTTTTTTTAATTTTGGCACTCGATACATGCACATATTTGTCAGTGGCGTTAAATGCGCATTTCTCGCGGACACGTCAATCACGTGCTTAAAGACCGTCAAATAGCCTCGGCCTGTCCTTTTGGTCAGAAATGACCTCTCTAGATACATTGTCCCTCTTTCACAGAATGGTTTTTCGGAGGCAAAATTCCATATTTATACACTTAAGTTTCCTCGCCTTGTACATTGTTAGCTTGGATGCTTAAGTAAAAAAACGTTAAGTTAGACACTGTAAAATGATTCCATCAACACGATACGATAAAGCATAAAATCTCTCACAAGACCACCCTCAAGCGTGAACTATTCAATTCTGGGTTTCCGTAAAAGGCATCAAGTGTCAGATTTAATAGTTTGTCTGCTTGTAATATTGACAACTAGCGTATTTTCTGGGGCGGGTACAAGGACGCAAGTATTCAATTACAGCCTAATTAACAAAAGTGCTTCTAGGGAGAGAGGGTGGAGCTCTTTGACCTCCCTGTGTTTGGCAGAGACAAAATAAACAAAATGAAATAGAAAAATACATCGTGAGTAAAATCCTGAGTATACATGTGAAGATCTTCGGTTCATAGGTGCATGACGCAAGGTTACATTTTCAGTAAAAAGTTTACTGCATAGCTGGCGAATCGTTACTTTGAATATTTTTCATAAATTGGATTTGGGTGATGGTTTCGATCCTTTTCCTGCAATGACTATTAAAGTTAACGTCATGAAAATCGATCTTTCTTAACACGGTTTCCATCAGAGCTTTTCAAATCATATTTTAAACTTGATCAAGACAGGAATCCATTGCTATCTTGATATTAAAAGCCCGCGCGAAAGGCCTCTAATTATTTCTACGTTCATTGCTCCTGTAATCAAATTGTGAGCACTTAACATAAAACATACTTTTGATTAAAATTTATTTCGATCATTATGGTATTAGGCATTACTCAATGCACAAGAGACTAGTGCCGTGATTGCCACAAAACCGACCGAATGATCCATGGATGAAAGACAGGCCACCTCATAACTCACCAAGATATGGATACTGGCATGTAAGCAACTGAAGTTGGGTGTTTTGTTCAACACGCACAAACAACTGGTTCGTCAAATAAATGGTTATAATGAAAAGTCATAAGTATAAAATGATATCACCTCTGAGTACAGCAAACTCTTCTCTCTGACTGTATTGACTGTATTGATTTCCCTTCACTTTTCACAATCTGTCGGTTAAGTTCTCGGGTGAATCTTTCCACAAATCTCGCGGCTTTCTGCATACCCACCAGGCAAATGTCACTGAGCTATTTCTGGGCCAAGGAAATGTCACACGGAAAATTGCATGTTTTGTTCTAATCCCTAGCTTATCTCACATATATGGCCTTTAAATACAATTCATAAAACCGATTCTTGGTAAACCATCAACCGTTGTCCTTCCTTCAAATACCAAGGCTTACCACAATGCTTCTTTTATTCTCCAAGAAACAACATAGGCCTTTCAGTGTATATACATATATATACCCGATTAAATAATAAAATTAAGTGGACCGTGCATCCTAAATCCGTTAACGAGTGGGCAATATAAAAGGTCTACCCGAGGGGTATCACTCCGCTATTGTGAATAAAACCTCTGCTGCAACAATATCTCACCGATTGCGACGTAACATTGCCTATACGTAATTTGAATGAATGCGATTGAAATTACGCGAGTGCCTTAACGAGGGGGATTAACCCCTGGAGGTAAGGGCACAAGTGCGCGTTGTTTATCTGTTTGCGGAACGTTACCGCAAGTGATTTCACGTTAAATTCCTTTCTCTTTTTGCTGGCCTTGATAATGCTGATAATGACACAACTCCCTTGCAGATTTTTGTTGGTGGAAAATCTCTTTAGAAATTTAAAAATGGAGCATGTCGGGCTTGTCATCATTGTTGTTCACACAGTTCGCAAAATTATGAATAATCTCACGCCACGCAAACGCTTGCAGTGTGCTACTGTAAGTATCAAAACAGTTCCCCTCCTCAGCATGTACAATAAACAATTTTACTGAATAAATTGCAGTATGAATGAATGGATGAATTAAATAAGTGAATCTTATACGTAAAAATATTGTAGGATGGCAAGTGAACGTTATCGGAATTTATTTCCGTTGTGGTCCCTAGAAGGGGTAAAACAAATTAAGGATGCATTACAATGAACCAAATACGAAGAACTAATATTTCTGTCATTATGACAGCGTATTTTGTTATGTTACATCATCACACTTTGGGCTTCACTCTGCAGAGGAGAACCGCCTTGTGACAACACAGGACCTAGTGGTTTTCTTAACATTGTAAAGGTAAATTAAGCGTGGGATTCGATAATACGGTGCTTGAACTTGCGGGGATTAATATTGCCATTGGATTAACTGGGATGTCATGCCGAAATTGTGAAGTTGTTAAAGGGAAATACGTGCTGCTATACACTGTTGGTATTGTGACCTTGAGAGCGTACAGCATGTGCATTTGTGTTTTTACATGCGTGTGGTGTGTACACGTGTCTTTGAGGCATGAGGTACCTTGGAAGACTCCCAATGATGAAATGACAATTATCACCATGCCATAAATTATAACAAACGGAAGTATTTGACAAAAATCGTCAAATTAAATTCTGAGTTGGTTTATTGCCAAATCCCAGTTAAAAAAAAGGAAGTTCACGCCCCCCCCCCCAACTCTCTCTCTCTCTCTCCCCTTCATTCTTCAGGTTAATTTTTACTTGTTCAGTTTTTAAACATTTGGTTTCCCTCAATGACAACTACACCTACCTGAGAGGGATATGCGTCCAGACTCGCCTCTTGCCTTAACAAGGCACGCTGCACGTGGCCACGTCCGTTAAGCCCTCGGGTTGCGCACCTTTGAAGGGGTGTCAGAGCCATAGGTGATGACTGCCTGCGATATCTTTAATGCAGTTGTATTTGATAAATGCCGTGAAAGGTGAGCGAAGCACCAAATATCTTGTATATACTTAGTATATAAAAAGCATGTTTCCTCTATTATTAAGAAATGCCAAAGAACAACCAATGACTGCACTGTAATCAGAACAAGAATAAAAAAGTCCCACCCCTGTTTATTTCCAAACCTTAACAAGAAAGGGGGTGATGTAATGACATGCGTATATTTTATTTATCAAATGAGGTATACACGTGTATTTGTTAATTGAGACATCTAGAACGCTGCGGTCATTTTTCTTTACAAATCTTCAGCGTGGATATACACCTGGGGGTTGCCTTCATTAGCCCTGTCCTGTAACCGCTGGACAATGGCTAACAACGCCGATACAATGGAAAGTGACCAGTGGTACGCAGCTAAATATTAAATTGGTTTTGTTCAAAGTAACCCCGGGTTATTGGCTAAATATTTATTGAAGAAAATTAGTGAATACCTGACCCGCAGTTCACTTGGTGCTGCTGGCCTTTGAAAAAAAAGAAAACCCACACATATGAAGATATTTTAAATTGTTAAGTTAGAACAATTTTGAACCGCAAATTGTTGACGTGAAACCAACAAATTCTGTCCAGTTAATGACTTTTGCTGAGGCAAGCTCTCGGCGAGGTTCACTCCAAAACTGGCTTAATTGGTCGTCGCCGATTTATTAACAAGGTAAAAAGAATTATTTAAAAATAATAATAAATGCTACGAGGTTAGATTTTATCACGCTACAACGAACCTGAGAAAATATCAAGTGACCTGTTCTGTGGGTGGGGCCAAAGTGCACCAGATACGTGCCAGGATTATTGCCTGGAGCAGTCTTCTCTAGCGCAATGTTAACAATTTTACTCGGCCCTGAAAAGATTTGACTTTTATTAAATTTCTCAAATAACTTAATGCACATTGGTCATTTGGAGTGAAATAACACATGTTCGCGACCACAACAAAATTTGGTCTTCCTACCTCCCACCCTCGCGTTCCGGAGTACCCTTTTTCTCATTCCGTTCTCTCTCCTAAATAAATAGTTTAATAAGTGAAAAGAGACAAATCCAAGCAAAAATATCCATCCCCGCACCCGCCACATTATGGTAAAATTTTCCATGTCTACAATTTTTTTCGTTTTTGTCGAGCAAAACATTTTCTATACAGGTGCGCCCCCCACCCCCTACTCGCAAAAACCTGTGCCCGCCAATATTCTACAAAATAAACCTTTCAGAAAAAAAACTTGATGCATTTGTCTTATCCTGAGGAGAGTTGATTTGTTCATTTGAGAGCGCCCATTGTTTTGCCGTCTGCTAATGATACTGACCTGGATGCTGACAGACGCAGTCCGGTTCCGCCCCATTTGACAAGATCGTCTGCAAGGAGTCCGAATTCGGGGTAAATTTGCAAGGGATTTCCACAGGCCTTGGGTCTCTTTGGATCGAATAAAGAAGAATAAAAACGGAAAAATGAGTAAACTTTAACCCTGATTATAAAAATATTTTGAAAAGTAGTTTTATTTCATGTTACACTAAATCAATTTAAATCGAGACGACAAATTCCTGTATTTAACTCTAATAATTCCCAGAGCCTGTGATCTCGTGACGTCATTTGGCAGCAAGACGACAAGACCCACATGGAGCACTTACAACACAGATTTTCATAAAAATGGCGCTTTCAGTTTTGGAATTCAAGAATTTCGATTTTATACCAGACGGGTTTCACAGCTTTGAAGAGACTGTTACGTACTGCAAGAAGTTTACTGAAGTAAGTAGGAAGAAGTCTAACTTTGCATTAGGCCTATGTGTACTATAGACATGTGGGCTCTTATGATGTTATAAACAGGAGGGAATGAATCAATGTAGCAACAGCAGTTTGAGTCATAGTGCATCATTTTGGTATTAATATATTATCACATGCATGTATCTTAGGAACCATACAAGGTTCGCCAACATTTTTCTGATTTTCGTAGACAGCCATTTTTGTCGTGTAATAGTTTTGAATTTGCCCAGGTTTAAGAGTTCACTTGTAGTGTTTAAGGTGTTAATTCATAAACGTGTTGATTTATCTTAAAAGGATACAATGTAACTTGCCGTTTACAATGTGAAAATCCATTTCCTGGCTGTATAATAATGTCACTGGTATGTGTCCGCTTTATTAATAGTTATATGGATGTACTAAAAGTACAAAGTACAGTGCAGAGAGATATGTATGTGTGTTTGTGTGTGTGTGTGTGTTTGAGCTGGGGGGGTAGGTGAAGGTTATGTTTTCCAATTTATTTTTTTACTTGCCCGACTATTTTCTTGAGCGTGAAAATAGGTGGGGGGAAGGGTTTGGTAGCTGACCAAGAAATACCAACATGTTGCATGTCAACAAGAAGCTTATTTCAATAGCTATTTATTTCATACCATTATTTTATTACACAATAATTATGCACAGTGATATACTGCTTAAAAGATTTTCTCAGAGGAAGATAAATACTATTGTCAAAACTAATTAGAACCTTCAGCCTGAAAGATTGCATTTATTCCTTCGATCTAAGCCTTGTCTGAATGGAATGTGCCTGGGATTTCATAATACTGGCACTGTTTTCAAACCCTGCTTCCTCTTGCACTCTCTACCGTCACCTTCAACCTTTTGATCACTTTATGTTAAAATGTTTTGAGAAATTTCAATATTTTATATGCTTCCAAGGTTTTCTTGAGTTTCATTTCAGACGGTGTAAAATGTTTGGATGAGGTTGTAAACATGTTCTCCAATGTACTGAATATAAGAGACCTTTCCCAGAGACTATCGTAATAACTTTGGATCGAACTATCTCCAAGGGGATTCTCGCTTGATTACAATTAACTTAAACGGCTTAGATGTCTGTCATGCCTTCTGAAGCTGATAGGGGATAATTAACTATTGCTTAGCAGCTTTAGCAGGTGGCCAGACATCTTAGCCACTTAAGCTGAAAGCAATTTAGCGAGAAACCCGGTGGAGATGGACCAATTCTGTTAGATCCATCTAGGGATGACAACCCAGTCTAATTTTTTTTTATAATGTATTTCAGGAAGTGAGAAATATTTTAGAGAAGGTCCAAGATGCACAGGATCTTTTCCAGACTCTAGTGATGATCCTGGAGTATTTCACTTTGGCAGTAGACAAGTTAGTGATATGTAGAGACAGCCATGAGTTAGTCAGGTTTTTGTTTTTGTGAGTATTAAATTTTACTTTCCTGATTTTAAGCACACTTATTGAAATTTTATAGCATATTCTATATTTGACAAAGTGTCTTTAGATTATTGAAATATATTTGAAATAAAAAGTCATTCAGTGACCATTTTTTAAATTAATTATTGTTGTTCTCACAAGCACAGTTTCAACTATTGTTAATAATGTTTGCACTCAAGGTCAGGATTTTTGCAGAAAAATCTAAATATTATTTTTACTGAATCTTAGGTTAAGTAATAGTCCGCAGTAATAGCACAGTCGTGTGACTAATATGCTAAGCACGAGTGGTATTCGAAATAGTCCATGGTAACTGGCCAATCAGATGCCTGCAATTCTATAAGAGGTATAATATTAGAGCACATTCAGAACCTGTTGATCTGCAGACTAACTAGTCACCAGTTTAAATATGGCTTGCACGTGACTGTGGATTCCCGCCTTCCAAGGGTGCTGCCCCTGCAGGGGCAGAAAAATTTAATCATAGCTTGCTTTGAAGCGAGTAGCGCCATATTTGAGTAGTCAGCAGCCAGTGGATCAACAGCTTCTGAATGGGCCCTTACATCATATTTATCCCCTCATGCAGGGAGTGCTGTAAGCCTCTGGTCAGTCTAAAGCTGAGAGAGTGTGAGGAGAAGCTCCAGTTCAGCTTCAAGGTCACTCTGATCAAGGTCCACGATGCCGTGGTGACCACCTTGGGGTTCCCATACTTCTGGCAGCTGTATGGTATAGCCAAGGTACCTTGGGATGACATGGTGTGTAAGATGATGGCAGAGCAGGACTTGGACACAAAAGAAGGTATGGGTGCTAACTCACTAATTTCATACTCCATACTTTTTCAATAACATTTAAGAGAAGTACACTGTACACTTTGGAAATTCCCAAAGGTCAAATTGTATTGTGTTCATATATGCTGCAAATATTTCCCAATTCAGAAAATAAAAAAGAACCCTCATATGAAAGAACCTATGTCAGCAGTTCCTTATGAAATGTATAGGAAGAAGGGGAGAAAAACTTAATTTTTTTATCTTTATCTTTTATCACTCACACAAACACACTCTTAAAGCCCATACTCGCTGTTTAGAAACGGAAGTAGTTGGGCTTACTAAAGCCGTGAATATTTGCTGAAAATTCAACAAACAAATCTGAAGACGTGTTCCTAGAAAATCTTGAAAGCCTCTGTTGAGTGTTGTTATTGCTGCATTGTCACATAACTGTTACATTGTTTTTCCAGTTTTCACGTACATTGGTTCTCAGGACATGAACCTCATGCGCCTTCGTGCAGATGTCATGCAGAAAAATGACTGCGAGGCATACTGCATGAACCTTTGCACCTGGCTTCTGAAGCACCCCTTCTACCGCAATGACACCGACTTAAGGGCCAGGCAGCTCATGTTACTCCATAAGCTGGGAGAAAAAGATAAATTTCATGTTGAGGTTTGTGATTTTTATACTGTTATTTGAAAAATTTGGAGAAAGGAAAATAATTCTTTTTATTACATACAGACAATATTTTTCTGCATATTCTCGGGCCTTGTTAATGATGTGTGTTCTCAAGCCCATAGTGATCTTGAACACCTAATAGAACTAGGATTTCATGGTGCAAATCTAAAGAAACTTGTCAAGACATACCTAGCTTTCACTTGTCAATGAGTCTCTCGCTGTTAACAGTTGTTCTTTTTTCCTTGATCCCACACTATTTTCAATATCCTATAAAATACAAGAAACTGCATGTTAGAGCTTTTGGAGATTCCAATATGTTGATTTTTTATTTTTATCTATTCATGTTTATTCATTGTCTTTATATTTTCCAACTCTGCTTTTGGTGCCCTCTACGTTCTAAATTTCCAAGCACTAAACTGAGAGAGATGTAAAAAATTGAACAAAAATATTGATAAATGATTTTCAGACATGGAAAGTGGATTGCTGTATGGGTTTGGACATAATGAAGAACCATCCCATGATCCGTGAGGAGAGGAAGATCTTTGTCAGTCTGGTGCAGACATTCCTTGTACAGGATTGGGTGAGACCTAAACACAAGTGTTGCACAAAGGTAAGGAAAAGTCTGTTCACATCAGATCTAAATTAAATCTGCACAAAGGTATGGAAAAGTCTGTTCAGAACAGGTCCTACTTAAAATTGTTCACATGGCACCATGTAGATATCTTGGTCTCTTTCACAATATTTTTATGACAAAAACATTTTTCTTTAGTACAGACAAACATTTTTTTTCTTGCCATAATTATTCTGTATATATATATATATGCTCTCATGAATAAATGAAGATATAATTTTGAAATGTTGATATTGAAAAATGATGAGATTCTTAAAGTTAGGTTTAAAGAGTTTTAGTTTCTATACTGGCAATATCATCAGGGTGCACATTGGTCTGCTTTAATTATTTGATCCCAGTTTTGCCTTGGAATTTTTATGTACAGACACAGATGTGTCTGTANATTGGATTGAAAATCGGACAGGTCAAATATATGAGCACCTGTCCGAAGGACAGGTGCTCACAAAAGTTAGTGTCTAGCCCTGATACAGACAATATTTTTCTGCATATTCTCAGGCCTTGTTAATGATGTGTGTTCTCAAGCCCATAGTGATCTTGAACACCTAATAGAACTAGGATTTCATGGTGCAAATCTAAAGAAACTTGTCAAGACATACCTAGCTTTCACTTGTCAATGAGTCTCTCGCTGTTAACAGTTGTTCTTTTTTCCTTGATCCCACACTATTTTCAATATCCTATAAAATACAAGAAACTGCATGTTAGAGCTTTTGGAGATTCCAATATGTTGATTTTTTATTTTTATCTATTAATGTTTATTCATTGTCTTTATATTTTCCAACTCTGCTTTTGGTGCCCTCTACGTTCTCCATTTCCAAGCACTAAACTGAGAGAGATGTAAAAAATTGAACAAAAATATTGATAAGTGATTTTCAGACATGGAAAGTGGATTGCTGTATGGGCTTGGACATAGTGAAGAACCATCCCATGATCCGTGAGGAGAGGAAGATCTTTGTCAGTCTGGTGCAGACATTCCTTGTACAGGATTGGGTGAGACCTAAACACAAGTGTTGCACAAAGGTAAGGAAAAGTCTGTTCACATCAGATCTAAATTAAATCTGCACAAAGGTATGGGAAAGTCTGTTCAGAACAGGTCCTACTTAAAATTGTTCACATGGCACCATGTAGATATCTTGGTCTCTTTCACAATATTTTTATGACAAAAACATTTTTCTTTAGTACAGACAAACATATTTTTTCTTGCCATAATTATTCTGTATATATATATATATATGCTCTCATGAATAAATGAAGATATAATTTTGAAATGTTGATATTGAAAAATGATGAGATTCTTAAAGTTAGGTTTAAAGAGTTTTAGTTTCTATACTGGCAATATCATCAGGGTGCGCATTGGTCTGCTTTAATTATTTGATCCCAGTTTTGCCTTGGAATTTTCTTTTTTTTAGGCCATTTCACAAAGTCATGTGCCTGCCCCCCCCCCCCCCCAACCACACACACACACACACACACACACACACACACACACACACACACACACACGCGGCCAAATCCCGGGTCTGCTATTGTTTTATAGTGATATCATATATCACCTCTCATTACAGGAGTTGTTGAGGCTTTGACGTAAATCTTCCCGCTTCCTCCTTTAGCAAAATCCTGGATCTGCCATTGTTTTTATAGTGCTATCATATCCTCTCTCATTACAGGAGTTGTTAAGACTGTGGCTCCCCCTTCAGTGGCGAGATGATGTTGTGAAGGTGGTGTTTGAGGAGGGGGTGATGAAGCTGGTGGAGCTGGCTGTGAATACCACTCAGGTTATGTACCTGGTGGAGATGCTGCAGGAAGTGGTGAGCATACATGGCTGCATTGACAACAGTGGACGAACAACTCTGCAGATCAAATATGTCCAACCTACTTGAATACTTCCCCACTGGGAATCTATTCAGTGTCTGTTAGCAGACTAGATGGAAAGTTTTGACTGTGGTCTAGTTAGTGCGCTGTTCTGAATGTGGCCTATGTGGTTCTGTATACAGTCCCTGTTCTCAAAGTTTCTTCCATTTAGGAAGTTACGCTGGTGACTATTTAAGATTTCCAGGTTTAAGCTTTACTTGATGTAAACAGGATGGTAGGATTTTGATGTTTAAGCTTTTTCTGATGTAAACAGGGTTTAAATCTCAATATTTTGAAAAAATTGTATAAGCAAGAGTTTTTATTCACTTGGTGTGTGTGTGTGTGTGTGCACACATGATATATTTTTATTTTACATCAGGTTATTATGTCAGAACTTTTTCTTAATTTCTTAGTTTCTTCTCTGACAGAACAGAATGACTGGAAAGACAAATTTTCAGGATGGTTAAGGCAGTTATCTAAAAAATGATTCCATCTTTCTTACAGTTTGGAAAACAGTTCCACAGTCTTTGTTTCAAAATCTGCTCCATCCGTCTGCAAGCAGAAAAATTAGCTCTGGAGGAGGCAAAAGACCAGAAGAAAATAGAAAAATCTGAGCAAGCCACTAGCAGCCTGAGTTATGTTTGTCAGGTGGTGTCCGCATTACAAGATGGCTGCTGGATGAAGAAGGTTAGCCTTCTCACTTCACTTTCTCTAGCACCAACTGAGGAGACTTTCCACCTGCTCCGAAAGGTTTCATGGCTTTGTGACCAAGAATGTGATCAAAGGGAAGGATATGAAGAGCACAATGAGGGTTGTATAGAGCTTGATAGTAATAATGAAGACCATGTAGTATCAAGCCCAGATGTCCAAATTTCTCATGGTAAGCAAACACAATCATCAGGTGGTGGGTCACAGCTAAATATGACACTAGCCTTGAATAAAGGAAATCCAGTTCTCACAAATATGGGTCATGGTGACCCAGACACCACTGCCACAGGTCAAACTCTTGGAACTTGCAGCTGGTCTCATCTGAGGAACTCTCCTGAAGACTGTTTGAATATTTTGGGCAACTGGGAGAGAAGCAAACATGGTCTTGACATCACAAAACAAAGCGGAGCACATCATGAAGACCAAGATATGGATAGTTCCAATAAACATGCTCCAGAGATGGATGAAGAAAACCAAGGACGTCAGCACTCGCAAATTGAAGCAGGCGTGCAGGATGGGGTGGAGAGAATGAACAAGTTCCAAGACAAACTCCTAGGCAACAGAGGGCGCATCCCAGGGCCATTGTTCCAAGAGGTCATTGATCTGTTGTCCAGTATTAGGGACCAGTCGCTTGACCCTAGCCTGTCATGGCCAGATCTCCAAACCAGCGTACTAACCTATATGCAGAAAGCAGGTCTCTATTATGATAGCCAGTCTGGTGAGTTCCTATGTAACATACAACCTGTGGTGAGAGTGGAAAGGTTAAAGGAAAGGTCTCAGTCCCATGAACCCAATACTGCCAGTAGTGAAGGAGATGGTGATGAAGAGGATGCTGATGATGATTACAGAACAAGATGGCCGCGGGTGATCAATGGATTTGTAACCCCCTATGTATCAGATGTTGTGAGACAGGACAGTGACNAGCTTTGCTGCCTTGTCTTTTTTTTAGGCGATTTCACAAAGTCATGTGCCTGCCCCCCCCCCCCAAACACACACACACACACACACACACACACACACACACACACACGGCCAAATCCCGGGTCTGCTATTGTTTTATAGTGATATCATATCACCTCTCATTACAGGAGCTGTTGAGGCTTTGACGTAAATCTTCCCGCTTCCTCCTTTAGCAAAATCCTGGATCTGCCATTGTTTTTATAGTGCTATCATATCCTCTCTCATTACAGGATTTGTTAAGACTGTGGCTCCCCCTTCAGTGGCGAGATGATGTTGTGAAGGTGGTGTTTGAGGAGGGGGTGATGAAGCTGGTGGAGCTGGCTGTGGATACCACTCAGGTTATGTACCTGGTGGAGATGCTGCAGGAAGTGGTGAGCATACATGGCTGCATTGACAACAGTGGACGAACAACTTTGCAGATCAAATATGTCCAACCTACTTGAATACTTCCCCACTGGGAATCTATTCAGTGTCTGTTAGCAGACTAGATGGCAAGCTTTGCCTGTGATCTAGTTAATGCGCTGTTCTGAATGTGGCCTATGTGGTTCTGTATACAGTCCCTGTTCTCAAAGTTTCTTCCATTTAGGAAGTTACGCTGGTGACTATTTAAGATTTCCAGGTTTAAGCTTTACCTGATGTAAACAGGATGGTAGGATTTTGATGTTTAAGCTTTTTCTGATGTAAACAGGGTTTAAATCTCAATATTTTGAAAAAAATGTATAAGCAAGAGTTTTTATTCACTTGGTGTGTGTGTGTGTGTGTGCACACATGATATATTTCTATTTTACATCAGGTTATTATGTCAGAACTTCTTAATTTCTTAGTTTCTTCTCTGACAGAACAGAATGACTGGAAAGACAAATCACATCTTTTCATGCCTCCACATTTGAAATACATTTTCAGGATGGTTAAGGCAGTTATCTAATAAATGATTCCATCTTTCTTACAGTTTGGAAACCAGTTCCACAGTCTTTGTTTCAAAATCTGCTCCATCCGTCTGCAAGCAGAAAAATTAGCTCTGGAGGAGGCAAAAGACCAGAAGAAAATAGAAAAATCTGAGCAAGCCACTAGCAGCCTGAGTTATGTTTGTCAGGTGGTGTCCACATTACAAGATGGCTGCTGGATGAAGAAGGTTAGCCTTCTCACTTCACTTTCTCTAGCACCAACTGAGGAGACTTTCCACCTGCTCCGAAAGGTTTCATGGCTTTGTGACCAAGAATGTGATCAAAGGGAAGGATATGAAGAGCACAATGTGGGTTGTACAGAGCTTGATAGTAATAATGAAGACCATGTAGTATCAAGCCCAGATGTCCAAATTTCTCATGGTAAGCAAACACAAGCATCAGGTGGTGGGTCACAGCTAAATATGACACTAGCCTTGAATAAAGGAAATCCAGTTCTCACAAATATGGGTCATGGTGACCCAGACACCACTGCCACAGGTCAAACTCTTGGAACTTGCAGCTGGTCTCATCTGAGGAACTCTCCTGTAGACTGTTTGAATATTTTGGGCAACTGGGAGAGAAGCAAACATGGTCTTGACATCACAAAACAAAGCGGAGCACATCATGAAGACCAAGATATGGATAGTTCCAAAAAACATGCTCCAGAGATGGATGAAGAAAACCAAGGACGTCATCACTCGCAAATTGAAGCAGGCGTGCAGGATGGGGTGGAGAGAATGACCAAGTTCCAAGACAAACTCCTAGGCAACAGAGGGCGCATCCCAGGGCCATTGTTCCAAGAGGTCATTGATCTGTTGTCCAGTATTAGGGACCAGTCGCTTGACCCTAGCCTGTCATGGCCAGATCTCCAAACCAGCGTACTAACCTATATGCAGAAAGCAGGTCTCTATTATGATAGCCAGTCTGGTGAGTTCCTATGTAACATACAACCTGTGGTGAGAGTGGAAAGGTTAAAGGAAAGGTCTCAGTCCCGTGAACCCAATACTGCCAGTAGTGAAGGAGATGGTGATGAAGAGGATGCTGATGATGATTACAGAACAAGATGGCCGCGGGTTATCAATGGATTTGTAACCCCCTATGTATCAGATGTTGTGAGACAGGACGGTGGCTTGCAGCAAAACAGCACAGAAGATGGCAGCAGTGGTGATATAGAAGAGGAGGGTTGTCTCACTGAGCTAGAGTGCCTAGTGTCAAAGGACGTTGGTGTACTGGAAACACAGGCTGATATACTTGAGCAACCTGGCAAAGAACAACCAGTCCTGATTCAGGAAGAAGCTGCATGTCTTACCAATGAACTGATGAATATTGCAACTGAAATTAACAGTGCAGGGGATGTTTTACAGTCGGAGGTTTTGGATGGGCAGAGTCAAGAACATTTTGAGAAAATCAAAGATGTTGCTACAAATTTATCTGTTGAGACCGAGTGCACAAATTGGTGTTCCTCCAAGGACCTAACAGTTCAATTACGTCATGCTGCAACAAAGTACTACCAGGAAGAGGAGAGTGTGATTGAAACCTGTGGACTGGCAACCCATCAAGTGGTCCAGATTGTGTCTGACATAATTCAGGAGCTGGAGAGTGTCAAGTTGTGCGATGATTTACGAGACATCATGATAAGTGATGGTCCCAGATTTTCAGATGAACCCTGCTTGAACAAAACTTCGGTGAAAACCAAGGGGTCTTTGAAGGAATATAGCCCGATCGTCCCTGATGTTGGTTTGGCTGAGGAAAGTGAAAAGGACTTCTGCGAATTGGGCAGCTTGGCAGTTCTAAGCAAAGGCCAGAAGAAGGAATATGGACCTCAGCTATGTGAGACACATTCTTCTTGTAATCGAGTTGAAGGATCCAGGTGTGCTGAAGAAAATGGTGATATTGGCTCCCTTGTGAACAGTTTATCAATCAGGGAAAAGTGTTTAAAAAAAGCAAATGCTGCAGGATTGATGCATTCAAAAAAGAATGGTTGTCCAATTTGCTGTGCTGTTTTTAAGTATCCTGGAAGTGTGAAGCGTCACATTACTTTTATCCATTTTGAAGACGTGGTGTTTTCGAAAACCACAGAAGAAAAGAAGGGCCCTTACATGTGCCTTGTGTGTAATGATTTTCAAACTCTGACTAAGCAGGACATGATTATGCAACATATATGTACACATGCTGAGGTCACAAAAGCATTAGCAGAATTGTCTGGTGACAATGCACATCAGAGTGAAGTAGACTCTGACACCAAGGATTATGTTGCTGTTGACAAATTATCCATTGAGAAGGCGGTGATGGAGTGCTGTGAGGATGTAGGAACCATCACCTATCTGAGGCATCCCACCAACACAAAGAAAACCAAGGCTTCAAGGGCTTCAAAGAAAACAAGACACAAGAAGAGGGTTGCCAACATAGCCAATGCCTTGAAGAAAAAGCTATCAGACTCTGAATTCAAACAAAAAAAGTCAGATTCCAAGTTTGAAACACTCAGTGGTTCAGGCCCACTTAAAAGGCAAAATAGTGAACAGGAACCAAGCAACCTTAAATCAACCATTATCTCCGACAAGGGCAATGAAACTGGAGAATTCTGGGAATGGGAATGGGAACTTGACGGTGACACTAATGGTGGAGAGTATGACAGTGACAACTTGGAGGATTCAGACTACGTACCAAGCTCCTCCAACTCTGACTCTGACTCTGATGGCTTGCCTGAAGGCATGCCTAAACCTGCTGACACATCCAGCAACAGTGCAAAGAGGCCATTTTCATGCACTTTGTGTAGGTTTTCCAGTAACCTGAAGGTGGTATTGAAAAAGCATGTGATTTTCAAACATGGTCTGTCTAAAACTGGGAGCAGTACCTCAAATCGGGATATTAAAGGTGTTTTTCACATAAGTTATGATAAAAACAAGTTCCTAAATGAGGTAGATGCAAACAGGAGTGAACAGAAGATGTCATTTGGGGTAAACAAAATTGAAGAGGGATGTTCAAGTTCAAATTCTGTACAAGAAAAATGTTCAGAAAGTTGGATGCTGGCAGGAAATGGAGATGATAAAACAAGATCAAACCAGGCCAAAGTATCTCTGAAGAAGTCATCTTGCAGGGCACCTAAAGCATTGAAAACCTCAGAACCAAAATTGATATCTAATGGTAATATAGTCAAAGTCTCAGAACAGAGAGAGGAACCATCACCTTTGGAGGTGGACAGTAATGACTGCCATCAGCAGGTTGTTCAAGGTGATGTGAAATGTGTGACAATTCATGGAAGGAAAGTGGAAAAGTTTCCACTTTCTGAATATTTGGCCAGTGCTCCACAGGCTATGATCTTGGCTGATGATGGTAATTGTATAAAGAAGGCAGACCATTTGGTACCTGAAGCTCAAAGGAAACTTTTGTTTCCTAGCAATTCAGCAAGTGCACCTACAACTTTAAATTCCAAGTTTGGGCCTAGTGCTGTTGACCACATTTATCAGCCCCCACTTGATGTGGACAGAGTTCATGCTTCATCAAAATTTGAGGCATATAGAATGACAACTCCAAGTATGAAGAAAGTGAAGTGCCTCGGGCAAGAGATGAAAACTCAGATTTCCAAGTTGAAAAATGGGATTTGTTATCCAGTTTTTAAACGATCTAACATTAAACTAGAAAAGTTAAAAGCAAAAGTTGGGGACTCAAGAAGCAGAAAAGTTGTTACCCTTAAAAGAAAGATAATAAAGAAAAGAACCAGCTTGGCTCAGATAACCTCTTTCCTGAAAGAAAGACAAGCTTGTTGTCTTCAACAAGCACAGCAAGATAGTGATGTTGTGTTTTCAAACAATGTGGACAAAAACAAGGATGTGGAAGTAGCCAATGGCAGTGAAAGAAGAGTGCCATCAGTTCTGCATCCATTGCTCAAGGAACTCATAATGCCAAATCCTTCTACCTCAGTATCTCTCTCTGATGATAATGACGATGTTCAAGTTGAAAAGTGTGATGAAAGCACATTCTTTCCATTACCTGGGGAACCAGGAAGTGAAGATGTTGCCATGTCTACCAGTAGTGTTGTAGCAGCAGGGATGGATAGATATCGCCCTGCACCAACAAACAGTGAAACACCCACTGTCATTGAAAGATCTTTCCATTCATCTTCTCATGCGAAGGAGAAAAATAGCAGACTGAGGATGCAAACAGAACCATGTTCCTCTTCTTTGCAATGTGGATCACCAGAAGTGCAAGAAGACTCAGGCAGTAATGGCCAACACATTTCATTTAACCATGCCTCTGCTCAAATAACAACCCAATTCGTAAGACAACAAAGCAACAGTGAATCTGAGAGGGAGGTCCTAAACCAGGA